ATTTATTGCATTATATGTATTATTTTAAAAATATTTTAAAAATAATCATTGTTGCAGTAAATCTCCCTGGACTGAAGGAGGGCCAACCCAGGTAGAACCCTTGCACTTAAGCTGATTAGCAGCTGCTGATATGAACAAGCCTGAGGTATCCAATGGTTCCTCCAGGTATTTGTTGCAGCCACTTTTATTGTTGCTCTCCCATGCCATGCTGTCGTTAGCTATAGTCTGAGTCTTTGGTTTACTCCACTTTCTCATGCTTGTTTTTCCTGGTGTTGATGGTCCCATTCCAACATCATTTCAGTAGTGTAGTAAGGGTAAGTTTGGGTGGAGGATCTGTGCCAGTAGTGGGCAATTACCCAACTCCAATTTTCTCTGCTGGTTCCATTCAACCACTTTCAGATGCACATGTTTTTTAATATGCCATGTTCAATAGTACACAGTGTGACTGTGGGTCTAAGCTTCAGGAATGGCCCTAACCTCAATCAGTTGGTTATTTTTAAGACCTGAGAACTAACCAGTTTAAAGAAACTCTATCAGTTCTGCCAAGAACAACATCTAAAGGGCAATGTTATGTATTTTCCAGGCACATTGTGCCATTTATAACACAATCAAGTACCTATGTTATCTTCAATTGTTATAAAATGCTTCATCAAAAATGACCAAAAATAAATTTGACTTCACAAGTTGATTCCTTAAAATTGGCCTTCTGTCTCCTGCTCTTTCTGACACTCCGCCTTCAGCATGTCATAACAACACTGCTCCTCTGTTATGCCACGTACAACCGTTCTTAGGAGCGTTGGACTGAGGAGTAGTTTGTGCCAGTTGCTGCTGCTGCCACTAGTCTGAAGGGGTTTTATGGAAATATGTTGGCCTTTGTGAGAGCAAGCATTTAGTCACCTCAAATGGCAGCCATGGGAAACTCAAGGATTTTTCAAACATGCATAAATCAAAGCTACACTCCAGCTATGTTTTTTTGTGAGTGAATAACATTATAAAATGATATCAAATGCAAAAATGCCAATTTTACAAATTACTGCCTGTTTAAACATGCAGCCTGTGGTTGAGGTGCAACTCTCTTACGGACATTTAAATAAATTTTAGTGGAGATATATATATACATGTGAGCATGTGTAAGATGTGTGTAATTTTGCTCCCATGGAAGTCAGATAAAAAAGCTGTTATCTCAGAGTTAGAGGTATTAGATCAAACAGAGTTGCAGCTTTGCTCGCAACTCTGTTTGTTGACCCTGAACACAACAAATAATTTAGAATAAAGGGACTTCAGAATCTTGTCAAAGCGAAGCGTGTATACAGCACTTAGGGGCCCGTCACGCTCACTGATACTCCACACTTCACTTGAAAGTTGAGAGCCTGTAAAGGACAGCAACAAGGATAGACTTTCACATGAACATGCAAGTGCACAATGGCTCAATACAGTATGTAAGTGTGTGAGCGTGTGTACATGTGCTGAGGAAATGTTTCTTTGTGCACCAAGGGAAATCAGAAAGCACCCAGCAGCTCTAAACTCCTCAGAGTGAGACCTCATAATTACACTTTTACACATCGACACACAAACCGACACACACTCTCACATTTGTAATTACAGCCTGTACCACAATCCCATTAATTCTTGTATGGCCTTTAGGCGATTTTCCATCATTTAGGTGGTCACGGTTTCCGGTATGAAGGCCTTTGTAGGGACATGAGGTCACAGGGGGCGATTTTGCAGCATTCAGCCACTGGGTCACGGGTTCAGTACCCAGCTGGCCCAGTGGCTCCTTTCCAGTCAGAGTCTCCCTTCATCCATGTCTTGCTTTCTCTCCCCCCCAATGGGTCCCGTTGTGTAACTGATGGAGAGCAGGAGGAAAATAATAACTGGAACACAGAGACACACATATACACCTAAAAACAAAACACCTATAAATGTGTAACCAAGCAAGTAATTAAATGCCCTTTGGCTCAGTTAAATAAAGCTCACCTTTCTCTCTAATAACCACATTAAGTTGAATCATCAGCTCAATTGAACAGCATCTTTTAAGATCAGTCAAACGACTTGCATGTTTTTTGCATTTTGTCACGTTACAACCACAAACTTAAAAGGGTTTTGTTTGGATTCTCTATGATATACCAACCCAAAACTGAAGTGGAAAAAACTATTCAGAGTTTTTAACGTTTTTTGCAAATAAAAATAAAACTGTGGAATGCTTTTTTTCCTGGATTACTTTGATTCCCCTAAGTGCAACCAGCATTATTACAGCAGTAAAGAGAGTCCACCTGTGTGGTGTTTAATTGATAACATGACAGCTATTTTACATCAAGCTCACCAATTTGGTGAGCAAACAGAAGAAAGCCATTGTTGAAAGAAAGTAGTTTTCCACAAGGGAACACATAAATATAGCAAATGTAGGAAGAGCGATCCTGGAAGAACGGTCCAATTCCAATCTTTTCATCCCCCACCAAAAAAAAATCTTATTTCTGCCCCTTCCAGATGAGGAACACATATCCAATAGTTAATGGTCATGTTGCATTTAATTGAACTTTTGTCTCTGATATGAGACATGCATCATAATTCTGCACCAGAAGAAGCCAGATGCAATACATCTGGACATAAACAATGACTGGTAATTATAATTATGAACTTATGAAAGTTGTCTGTTCACTGAAGCCCATCACATCACAATCCAACCACTTCTGGCCTGACTACACATCCAAACAGACTTCTCTTCAGAAGTTGCAATCAATGTTCCGCAAAAAGCCATCGCTATTAGTTGTGCTTTCATTTTATTAGCTTCCTTTGTATTGCTATGATCTTGTGACAATTCTGTTGGCTGTCATTGCTCCATAAACTTTCAAACTGACCCATAAAGTTCTCCATGTATTATTACTTCTGTGAACAGTTTGGGGTTGTTAGTCATTTGCACAGAAGTCTGATTGTAGTCACTTTTAACTATTTGTATAAACTACTGACGAAAAAATTCAGATTTCAGCAAGAATTCAGAATTATACATCAAGACCTGCTGTGAGAACGTAGCCATAGATCACGGCATATGATTTATCCACATGAGGATAAGCCTAATTTAAACTGCAGGCCACACTCTTCAGATTTTCACTATTGGAGAGTTGAAAATATGTGTCTGATAGTTTGTCATAAACATTCCCAGTAAAATATGCCAAAGTTTGTGTAACATGGCAAAGTGTGAAATGCTTCAATGGATTTGAATACTTTACAAAAGCAGTGTAACATTACAAAGAGGCTTTCTTTTCCGCTTAAATTTACAGTAGTAAATCATCTAAGCATGGAGGGAGATGGAGTTGTCAAAGAGACAGACAGAGAGGAGGGCAGGAAAGCAGAAGCCCAGCTGTGTTTTCCAGCGGAGATGGCTGCCAGAGAGAGAGAGAGAAGGAGAGAGGGGGAAGACTTGACACTTTGTCAGATCGACAGAGATATGAAGCCGAGATGTCAAGAGACAAAAAAGGGTGCTTCTGGTCATGTGCACTTGCATTCAATTTTCTTTTTATCTGTATATGTGCACAGTTTCAGAGGAAATCGTTTTCAGCATGTTTTTCTGTGTGCTGAGACTCCGAGGGCAGCATGTAAGGAAAGGGAAGCCGTCTGTGTGTGAGCAGCGACCATTCTGTCTGGATGTAGCGCGGCGGAGTGTGTTTGTGCACTGAAGGGTGACAGAGGGCGTTTATCTCTGCACTGTGTGTGTGAGGATTTAACGATGTTTTCCTGCGTGTGTGTGGTTGAGTCAAGAGGACGTGAGAAGAGGCTTCCTCTCCACATACTTACATCTTTGATTTATCACACACTGCATGCCCTTAGACTGTGCACAGGAGTGTGGAAGTAAACCTTTGAGCTCAATCCTCCCTTTGTCAACAGACTCCATTCATTTTATGTATTTACTATACAGAGTGTGTTTAATAAAGGGAAAAGAAACACTAACTCATGTAAAATCATGTTTTTTCTGTGATTTTCTTTTGTTGGGCTCTGATCTCATGGCTCTCACTTTCATATTAACTCATGAGAACTATATTGGTGTTATGCTGCCAAGCTTGAAAAAAAGGGCAAATAATTCTGGTCCCCAAGACGGTGAACTTTCACGAAGGGTCACAGATTTGTCTTTGTTAGCACTCATTGCAGTCCTGAATATTAACGATTTGTGGATTGCTGGTAATATTTTAGGATATGAAAACACAGCAATGTTCTAAAGAACACAGTTACATGCCTAAGGCAAAGTACAATACAATGAAAACATCATCATTCAAAATGTAAATACATAAATAGGTGATGTGGTTCAGTTGCCGTATTCAAGCCTCCACAGTCTCCAGATGTTCGCAGCCAACTGTACAAAAGCTAAGATTTTTTGTATGTATGTATGGATGGATGGATGGCATAAATTACTAATGACTTACATCTCTAAAATCTCAGAACTGAACTTCCACGTCCAATTAAACCCAAACTAATTCAGATTTTTATTTGTTTTCATTCAACCGAAAAGTTTCCTCTGACATCAGATGAGACGAGCTCTTCTTAAAAGATAATAAAACAATGTAAATGAGTTATCAGTTAACAATATCATAATCTGAACCAATGCCATGTTATTTGCCATCTATGTTTAGAAAACATCCACAAAGATGTACCGGTAGTAGAAATGTGTAACAGACAGACACTCCCCTTCAGTGGGTTTGATCGAACTAATCAATCCTGGACCCTAAACCTCAGTGGAAATGAAGAAGATCCAGGGGGGAAATAATCTTTCAGCTCGCTTGAAAAAAGTCCCAGGAGATTAAAGTTCTCCCTGCTTTTGGTTGAAATACGACTCAGGCCACTCCCTCACTCCCACCCCTTTCTTAATTAAAACAACTCCTAAATAAGAAGTGCAGTCATAAACTGGAAATGAGACTCCAAGAACTATCGCGATAACACAGGATTTTGCTTTATCACGAGTAACAGTCTAATATTGATATCAACTTATCTGTTACCTTCTGTCCAAACAGGTTTTCCATGCCAACACAGACGCCACAGACGTGGTTCTTAACCGAATCCCTCAGCCGGTCTTGACACGCTTCATTCGAATCAGACCTCAGGCTTGGAAGAATGGCATCGCACTGCGGTTCGAGCTCTACGGCTGTCAGATTACAGGTAATGCACGACTGCATATCTGTTGTAGTAATTCTGCCATGTCAGTTGAAATGTCTCAAATGCTACTCAAATGTCACATTACTGAACCAGTAACAACATTACATAAGAGCATACTATGCTATGCAGATGCTGTCTGCAACAATGATGGTGTACTTAACTCTAAATTTGAAATTTGCTTCTGCAGGTTTGGAATAGTTTGTATGTTTAGATTTCAAATACTTATCTTTAATTTGCCATATCATTAATTGAGTTTTTGCTAAACTCATTGATGGTTTTGGTTTTGAGTTTCTGACTGAGAACAAGCAATGCACCGTGAGATCAAGAAAGCTCCACATCATTGCTTTTTCTGGTCCCTCGACTCTTAAATCAGAGACATAAACTTGACACATTGTATGGTTTAATCATTAAACAAATATAATTATTATTTTTTGAATATTTACAATGGATCATAGGAATGGAACTGCGCTTTTAAATAGATTACTCGTTCTAAACTTTTATAGTCTTTGACAGTTTTCTATCTCAGAAGCCAAAATTTCATGATTTTAGGAAAATCCAGATAATAAAATCCAGCTAGATGAGGGTTTTATGTTCAAACGCCGTGAGTCTCATAAAAACTAATATGAAAAAGCATAATTTAAAGTCTGGATAAGAAATAAAAATGTGTTATAACCCTCGGGTTATTCTTTGTCCACTAAGCCGCAATCACAGACTGTGCTTACAGCACTGAAAGATGGTCGGCCAATGACTAAAAAAGAGAGATAGTGACACCATGGCAAAAAGTAAGTTACTATGTCAAAAAACAGCAGCACGCAATTGTCCTAATTATTTTCAGTACAAAGTCAGTATGTGTACCGATTCATGAGATTCTCATTCTTTACACTGCAAAAACACAACATCTGGTGTATTTGTTCTAGTTTTTAGTCCAGATATCTTAGCACACTTGAAATAAAACTATCTTACAAGAAAAACATAGGAGCTTGTAATAAATAAATTATCTCTTAATATTGATACATGTAAATTCTAGTTCAACTAGCAGATTAAAGTCTTGTTATAAGTAAAAAAAAAAAAACGCCACTGGAAATAGTTATTTTATATAAAACACGCTTGTACGTCTTGTTAGAATTTTTTGTGAGATTCATGTAAAAACACATGAGTCACAGTTTGGGTGGGAGGGTTTGGTCAGAGCAGAAATACCTTTCCCCGAAAACATTCGCTGGGAAAGAATGAGTAAAAATGGAAGAAATGTCCCTTTCTTCTCATGAGTGTAATCTAATGAAAATTCAGTTCGTACTTTTATCTCTTTTTCTCTTCCACAACACACCCACTCTTGCGCACTCACACTCTTGCCCTCGCTCTTTCATATCCATATCCCCCTTCTCTGACTCCCACTCACGGATCTCTCTCACACACACAAAGAGACACACTTGGTCCTAATAGAATAATACTAGAGTGTCATGTGTGGGTGATAACATCAGAGAGTAACAGGCTCTCAGCTTTCATCTGCAGCCCTGGCAAACAAACACGATTTCAACCAGCATAATCAGCTCAATACTATAAATAGATAAAACTTAATTATACTGTCTGTGTTTGTGTGTGTCGAGAAACTGTGAAAGATAGGATTTTAAGTCATCTGACTGGGTCCATCTGTGTGTGTGCGTGTGTGTGTGTGTGTGTCTGCTCCGCTGTATCATTATTAAGTTAGGGCCTCTCCCTGGTGCCATTGTTGCGGCCATTGAGGGGGACAGATATGCTTTTATCCAGGAGGGCTATTTCAGCACCCACACAAATCACAATCGCACCAAAACAATATGACAGACAAGGATGGTGGAATATATATCTATAAATATGCATCTATCAACCATCCTGCCTGCACTCTTGTCTACTCTCTACTATATTTTAACGTCTCAAATTGCATTATATATCACCTTACAGATTGCACCATTTTTGAGCTGTGAGATTACATCCAACACACTTTTTTTTCCCAGGTCATTTTCATACACCCATTTTCCATTTCTGTGGCTTTTGGCAGTCAATCGTGGAGCTAAGGAGCTAAGCCCTGCAAAAGTTTCCATCAAAAACACAGAACTCAACAGATTGCACTTGAATTCCATGTGATAGACAAACACAAAGGTGTACAAAATTGTATGAAACAAAAATATATATTGGGTACTCTGTATAATTTATTCCAGCTGTTCTCCGAAGGCCTCGTGATTTTATTAGAGAACATTAGAGGATTGACAGCATCACCAAACGACTCAGGTAGGTAGTTGTGAAGTTGTAAAAAAGCAGCCTCGCCTAAAGGTGACAGTAGGTTCACCTTCCAGCAGGACAGTGACCCTAAACACATAGACAGTATGGATCAAAGAATATCCGTGTGTTAAAATGGCCCAGTTAAAGTCCAAACTTAAATCCAAATGAACATCTGCAGCAGGACTTAATCATTTCTGTTCACAGATGTTCTTCATCCATTGCGACTAAGCCTGGAGTATTTTACAAAGTGAAATGGGCAAACATTCAGTCTCTAGATGTGCACAACTGGCAGAGACATGCCCCTAAAACACTTGCAGATGCAAAAGCACCATCAGCCGGGTTGAAAATATATTGTCCCAGGGCTGCTGAAAACAAATGCACACCAAATAAAATACGTCAAAGTTTGTTGTTTTAATGTGACAAAATGTGAAAGAAGTTTAAAAGTTATAAATAAGTTTGCAGAGCACTAAATGCAGCATCATGACAGCTTCACCCTAGTTGTGCTTTTGTAATGAATGACGGGGTTTGATAGTTGGGAGGTACACATCTGCAAAACAGCCTGTTCTGCTGCAGTAAAATGTATTTTTCTCCACTTTTATAACCTAACATATCTGCTAGCAGACATTATGTTCCTGCTCATAGACATGCAGAGAAGCGTGCACTCGAACACACTTCCACTATGTGATAATGCCCTACACAGGCCTATAAAGACAGAAATAAAGCAGTCAGTCAGTGACATGTCATTAACTTAAATCACACTTTTATGTCTCCTGCTCTGCTTCTCTCTCACCCATCTCTCTTCAATGTCTCTGTGTTTTTTTTCCCCCTTCCTCCTCATTCTGGCTTCCCTCCCTCTATCCTTCTTTCGCCTTTGCTGACAGCTTCCATTCCCGCTTCTCTCCAGCCCTCTCTCATTTGCTTCTCTCCGTCTCGCCTTCCTTAAATCTTCCTGGTGCCTGCCTCCTTCAGCGGCTCCTTCCTCACCTTAATCCCATTTTATTTCAGTACCACAGCTCTTTATCAATCGCTTCTTTTCAGTACCGGTTATTATTTCTCTCACCAGGCCTGCGAGGCGCTCGTGTCCAGTCAGGTAGAGCTCCGCTGGCTGTAGCGGTAGCTGGTTATCAGGGAAAATAGCTCCATGTGTGGGTGAAACATCAGAGCATACGTCGGTTGACTGTGTGAGACCTTGACTGTTTTCTGCTGTTGTGCGCGTATTGCTTTGTGTAAGCGTGTGAATTTAAGAGCTCTCATGCTGGTGTGTTACATCTGCCTGTTTTTGCTGGGATGAGAGGAGATGATATTCTTCTCGACTCCCACTGCACTCCTGATTTAAAAAAAGGGCCAGCAGCCGAGGCTCAGAAACGGCACATATAAAACTCCACGATAATAAACCTACGGCTAATAAGTTTTGCTGAATGTTGCAGAGCTTCAGGAAGCTCGTGGAGCCTGTCGCTGTTTGTTGTCGATGAATTATTTACCATATAGAGGCACTGTCGCAAACGTCACTGCATTAAACATTCATTTCCTCAAAGACTTGAAGAATGTCACCATCAATCACTGTCACCCCCTTTCTTTCTCTTTGTCTCCATCCCTCTCCACCTTTCTATTCACTCACCGGTCTGTCATTCCATCCCTCTTCTTGACCTTTTGTCCATTTCTTTCTCCTTTGTCCTATATTTTCCTCTTTTAGTTGTTTAAATCTCTTCTTTTTTTATTGTGAGCCCATATTCTCCTAGTACATCTTCAAACAGAAGTGGTCACAATGTTTGGTTCACTTTGTTTTCCATCATTATTCATCACAGTGCTATATTTTTGAGGCTTATTAGATTAAAACTCATTTGTCTCTGTAATAAACAGCACCGCTTTGATCTGCAGCATGCTTTCATTTAGCTTTTTTTTTTTTTTTTTCCATTTGGGAGAGCTCTGGCTCAATTCCCCATAAAGAATCGCTTTTTGACTGCTCGGTTAAAGTTATGTGTCAACTTTTCAGCCGCAGGATGGGAAAATAATGAAACGGGGTGAAGGAAAAACAGCAGGAAGAGGCTCTGGTGTGTGTAACACATCAGCTGATGTCGTAACAAATCATTCCAGGATCAAACAAGATATTTTTTTCTCCTACATTAGCCTAACATTGACTCTTAATTACCTCAGACCCATAATTATGATTAGGTGGAAGCTCTTTAGAATGTTATTATTAGGACAGGGTCAGGATCACCTAATATTATACAATCATCACAATATTTTGCACCTCCTGTGTATTTTAACCTTCACTTTGCTCTGCTGTTCATTGATTTATGCTACACATCTGTACCACTTCTACTGAACTGATGAAACTGCAGCGTAATTATCGCAGTAATGACCCAGTTACAACATTGTTTGATATCACACTACACTATTCTGTATTGTCTGTACTGATGAAATTCCCGATGCTAAAAACTAAAAGTGAAACTGACTCATGACCTATTTTTTGATTAGTCCAACTGAAAACTATCAACGCATTGAACTTTTCTTAAGGCAGTCAATGGAAAAGAAATGGTGAAAAGCTGTATTTCCTCAACAAAATAGATGTTTAACATTTCTATTTGCTCAAAAAAGCAACATTTTATGGCACCGAAGGATGTCAAAATCCACTATCACTAATCTAAGTGGAAGGGAACAAGGGCAATCTATTAAGTATGATATACACACTTTTTGAAAGTGCAAAGTTAGGCGGGTTGATTTATTTTACTCTGAGTTTCTTGAGATGACAAAAGGATGCTAACTACCAGCACTGCTACAAGCGTTACATTATATTATAGATCACTTATGTAGTTGATCAAAACCAAAATCACATCTTTTTCTTACCAACAATTGTACCTCCCATGTGTACAAATATTCACTATAGTATTCCTGAGAATTACCATAAGCAGGGAAATGCTTGCAAAGCTGGAGGTATTTTCAAAAATGTTCTCCATTGTCTCCTAAAAACTAAATGTTTTGTGTAAAATCAGACCTAGCCAGAACAGTCTGGCTACTATTGCTGTCGGTGTCCCAGCCTCTATTCTAAAGCATGTCGTATTACGGAAAAGAAAAGAGAGAAAAAGACTTTAAACAGCTGGCCAGCAGTTTGTCCAGTACATTTCCAAACCTCAGCTGTCAGCAGGAGGATCTTCCAGTTTACGTCTCATGTGTCCTCATCACTACACATCAAATCTCCATGTAAATCTACATGACAGTCTGACTTCGTGCTTCAGCGAGACTTGTTCTCACTGTCTTGATTTTTTGGATGCAGTGTTGCTTTTGTACTCACCTCTGTCATCAGCTGCAGGTAAACTTAAGTTCATGGTCAAGTTTTAGTTTTTGCATTTGTTTTACAAAAATGGGGACCTATTGCTCAACATTACAGAATCTTATATTGCAGGTAGACAATAAAAAAAAAAAAAATAATCACCTTCTTAAAAAAAATGGTCTAAGACATGTTTTCCCAAAAGATTATTTAGGGAAAAAAAATACTTTCAGAAAAAAAAAATATATATATATATATATTTGGGTTAATATTTTAGGAAGGTGGTGAAATGCTTTATGTTTGAAAGGCTGCATAGCAATGAGATCTAGACTTTGAAACCATAAAGTCTATCAGCATTTTATTTCCTCTCAGTGCTTAAACTCTGGCCAGTCTGCAGGCTTGACTTTACAGCCTAGCTAATTGGCGGACCATGTTGTCTATTTAAAGTTTCCAATAAGCAACTACTTCTATTGTAAATCACTCTGCATAGTGAAAAGTAAACAGCTAAAAGTTTACAGTACATTGAAATGTGACTCCATCTTGGATGTTATCCAGTTATTGACAGATTTTTTTTATGACTCCTAATTATTCCAGCAATATCTTCATTACTGGTAAACATTAAGTTCATGTGGCCCTCTGGAACAAAATATACTTTTATGACTGTCAAAATGTGGATTTTATACCTAAGATATTCTGTCTCTCTGTTTCCTGTTCAGATGCTCCCTGCTCAGAGCTGCAGGGCATGCTGTCTGGGCTTCTCCCTGACTCTCAGATCTCGGCATCCTCCATGAGGGACATCCACGGATCAATGGGGGCAGCCAGACTGGTCGCCAGCCGGTCGGGTTGGTTTCCGAACCCGACACAACCCATAGCTGGAGAGGAGTGGCTACAGGTCTGTGACTTTAACTTTGGAGAACAATGCATGTATGCAAGAACGAGGGCTTTTGCTCACTAATTTCTGATTCAGTGCACAGTTTTGCTCCTCAGTTGATCAGCAGTCAACTGAGGAGCAGTTGACTGCTGCCCAGCTAATTTGTAAAATATATTTTTAAGTAGAATCGTTTTCAGGTAAATTCTCTCATGATGTTTAAAATACATTGTTTTAACTTTTAGTTTAGACTTTAAAAATACATTAGTAATGCATGAAATAGTCTAATAAGGCGGATAACAAAGTGTTCTGGTGTTATAAACCTTTGCCTGATAATAACCCCTCACATAAACAGTGTAATGCAATATAATATTTGGCAATATTCAAAGTTTTGGACACCATTTGTGTTTTCTTTTTTTCTCTTTCACCTTTGCCATTTCCTAAGTGTCCTGAATTTGTTTCAAATCAAGATGTTTCTTAGATATATTGTGTGGAAATCACTGTGTCATCCACATACATTTGGATTTAAACATTTCATTAGACAATGACATTAAGTTTTCACAAGAAACAGTAAACGTCCTGGATGTATATCACCTAAAAATGAAGCTGTGGCTCTCCTGGTTGTCTTTTTTTGGCTGTTCTGATGTCTATGAATATGCATTTATATATGTAAAATACTACACATATGAAAATATGTTAAAACCAAACATTCTGATCATATTTTCATTTGTACTTGCACCTTCTTTAAGTTACTGGTATATTCAGTGGGCACCATCTGTTTTTACTAATATCATAAAAATGATTAATGAGTTGCACTCTGATGAGGCATTTTACTGTGTTTCTCTGTATTGCAGGTGGATCTAGGTGTGCCCAAGACGGTTCGAGGCATAATAACTCAGGGGGCAAGAGGCCTGGAGGGCAGCACAAGCTCTGACAACAGAGCTTTTGTGAGAAAGTACAAGCTAGCTCACAGCTTGAATGGCAAAGACTGGAGCTACATCATTGACAGCAAAACTGGCTTTGCTAAGGTAAATAAAAATGCACATTATCATGCACAGATGCATGCAAAATTAATGATCTTTCCTCTACGGTCAGTTTCTCAACATTTACTTTCCCCATCCCTCATAAATCTCCCACAGATTCTCCTCTTCTTTTTCCTTTCTGTCCGTTTTCTCATTATTGTTTTTTTTTTTGTTCAGCAGGAAAAAAAAAACAGTTTTATTCCAGCATCCTCTCTGAAAATAATTGCATTTAATCACCTCAGCCCTCTTGCTTCTGTCTCTGCCTCTATCCCTTTTTTCCTTCACTCTTTCTGTCTCTCATCCACTTGTTCACTCATTCCCTATTTGTCTCTCATGGGTGTTAATTAAAAATGTCTTTTCTGCATCACTACTCAACACTGCTGGCAGTCTAACGCACCGTGAGACAGGGCTCTTCATTCTCCTTTCTGAGACTGTCTTAAAACGCTTTAATAGCACTACTGAGTGTCGGGATTTTCTACTGATGTTAAAAATCCTGTTCTCTCTCATCTGCCTGTCGTTTTAAATGAGCATCCTGGGAAAATCATCAGAGGGTGTTTTTTTTCTTTTAGTTTAGAAATCTTAAAGACAGAATATACAGCTTAATCCATGAAACCAATAGCAGTCTTGTCTAGTCTCGTCTAGCTCTAGGTTTGTAATAAATCCTCTTCTTTTTTTCTTTTCTTTTCCTTTGTTTGAGGCTGCTGCCTCAAAGAATATTTGAAAATCAAAAGCAACACACTTGTTATTTTCTATGACACATGTCACACTGAGAAGAGAAACAATGTTGATTAGCTGTGCTCCATGACTTCAGACAGTCTTACTCTTTCTTTGTCAGTGAGACTTAAAAAGGAGATAGTAATTTACTTCCATCCACTTGAGTTTTTTTGTGAGTATTGTCAAAAATTGGCGCACCACCAAACACAATCTGATTTGACACTTCTTTGGACAATGACGTTTCTAATCTACTACAAAAACTTTATGATTTTCCATCTGCTTAATCAGATTTTTGAAGGGAACAGCCACTACGATACCCCAGAAGTTCGGCGGTTTGACGAGATTGTTGCACAGCACATCAGAGTTTTTCCGGAGCGATGGTCACCTGCTGGGATCGGCATGAGGGTGGAGGTTCTCGGATGTGACCTGCCGGGTAAGAGTTCACACACAGAGCATGATTTACAGCCCTGAACTGTTTAGGTCAGGCTTCAGTCCTCTGTGGACTGTATCCTGAAACTTCTATATGAAATGCACCTATACTTACAATACACAGGACCTCAGGGACTGAAATTTGAGACCCTTAGTTTGGGGTCTGGTTGCAGCCCAGAATTAGCACCTGTCAGTGTCCAGATTTGTAGGAGAAACTTGAAAATAGTGCCAATATCCAAACTGCAGAAATATGTATTTTTAACAAAGTAGCCACAATTAGAAGAGTTATATTTTATTTGACCAGGTTTTTGATTAAATAGCCATTCATCTCTTGATGGATTTGTCAGTGAGTAAACATAAAAGTAAGCAAAATCATTTATATGTGTCTCAAATGTGGGTTAAACACAATCTTTTAACCTTACTAGCATGTTTCTTCTGCCTGAGTTGCCTTGTCAGAGTCCAGCTTGAATCCAGTAGAGCAGAAAGTCCAGTCACTTCTCTGGAACCTAAATCAAATAAATGGCTCAGTACCAGGCCTCTGCAGCACTGAATGACATGCTGATGAGGGAATTCAGCAATTTTATTCAGATGTGTTGGAGATACGATGCATCTCTACGTTGCAGGATAGTAACTCTAGAAGACTGAGCTTCGGCACCCCAGCAATAGAAAATATGAGGAGGGGAATAATGATCAGAACTGTGACTCACTAAAATCAGAACTTTTCTAACCTCACAGACTTGGATTTCATCACTAAAGATAAATCAACATGACACCAGTGGGAACATAAAAGCTGGTTAGCAATCCTTAGAGGGGTTTGATTTATTTAGTGCCAAAAAAGATAAAATGTACATAACAGATTATATTCCAAAAAAAATATTTCATTCACTATTTCATTAAAAGATGGTCAAGATGAGTGGTTATGTTTCTGGCGTGTACAGACCAACTGTGAAGAGTAATTATACCCTTTGTAAGTGTTGGAAATACTCTATTTTGTACTTTATGCTGTGTGTGTTTCATCTTTATTAAAGTGTAAGATTAGAGAAGCTACAGTTAAAGAACAGCAGACTGTATTTCAAAACATTTATTTTCGTTTTCCATGGTGTGAAGTGTTGCATCTGTTACCTTATGGCACAAAGGATCAGTCATTAGTACAGGTCTCTGTCTCCCATTCATCTTCTATGTATTTTATGGTTAAAGTTAATAATCTTACTCCATAGGAGGCTTTTCAGCATGTCTGGACAGGGATTAAAGCGTCTAGGTCAGAGAACATTTACTCATTGCTGCCAGCTGCGTAATTCATTGTGCTCACAGCCCATTTGTTGGTAACATGTTCCTATGTGTAGCAATGGATTTGGTGCAGTAAAGTTGCTGAGCTATGGTATTCAGTCCATAATCAAAGCTGTTTGAACAAAAGAAAATCAGGATTTTTCTTACTTAGCTTGAAATATTCTTCTACTTTAGGATTAGTGTGGAAGGAGAGGTGATTTACCACAGTGATGAATGTGCGCCATCAATCTACATGTTACTTGACTGAGCTGTGAAAGTACAATTTATTATAATGCACCATTGCTGTACGGAGCACTTTAGCTGTGGCAAGCAATTCTTTTCCCTGCTGTGCAATCATTTTAAGAAATAAAGCAAACCATTGTACCAATGCTCCTACATTTATGGCCTAACTTGCACAATAACAATGCGCTACATAAATTCTTCAGCAAATGAACCAGAGACAATGGATAGCTTGTCAGTAAATCTGTAACATTTGTTTCTTCCTAATGTCCTGCGCTGTTGTATAAAATAGTCAGAGCTTAACTTGCCATCCGTTGCTCCTCTAAAAAGGCTTGCCTCTGGTTTTTGTTGCCTCTGATTACACTACTTTAGTCCCGTTGTGACAGGTGAAGATGTGAACAGAAAACGACACGTACCTGCTCCCAGTGGACATGATTGGGGCTGTTGGCTACAGCTGACGGATACAGTTGTGTATTTCTGAACTTGTGTGTGCATGTTGGGTGAGAGAAAGTGCCCAAAGGGAGCAATATATCCCAGATGTGTCAGAGTCAACCAGTAGGCTGCTTGTGATGGGGACACTGGAAGAACAGGAGAACGCTCTGCTTGCTTTATCTTGAGACAATATGGTTCTGGACACATTTATTGTGTAAAAATCATTTTTAAAAATTCATGATTTATTACACCATAATTTCACTAATGATTTCAGAAGAATCCAACTAAATTAAATACTTTTTTTCACGCGTTTTTATCAGTTGTACCAATAAATAGCATCTGATGACAACATTGCCAGTGAGAGAAAAACACCTAAAAATAATAATAAAAGGCGTTCACAGATATTTTATTTGCTATTAGTGAGGACATAATTGTAGGTTTCATTTCAATTAAGAAGATTAGAACGGCTCATTTATGTGGGGAAATTAAAACCAATCAATTCTGCATTTAACTATCATAGCCATTGCTTTAATTTTCGCCACTAATTTTCCTTCATTTCTCAAGAATAAATTCCCTAAAGTGCAAACAGATAAGCTCACATTAAAAAACAATTTAAAAAGAATGTTTTTTAAGATAAACATTATGCCTTTTGCGAAAATACAAGCAGTCAAACAGCCTATTTTTGTCCATATGCCTTGTTTACGATTGCATCAGATGCAAATCATAAGCAATCAGCTGCCATTTCTGCAAAGATCAACATCTTTACTCCGCTATGGCTGCAGCGATTGTCTGCTGGTCTGGCTGTCTGTGTCTGCTTGCCAGATGTTCGCCCTCTGGATGTAATCTGTGCATTAGACATGATAACAGTTCATTCCCACTTCACTTGAACACCATAGCAACTGCTCCTGCTACCATCCTATAAATAAAGCCACACAGCGTACTTCTTAACTTTAACTTTCACCATCTGTTTTTGGCGATGGAAAACAACATTACGTATGAAGTCACAGTCATTTTCATGGAGATATAAGTGACAACAGAAGTACCTATTTCCTTCCTGTTTGTGTTTGTTTTGTTCTAGAAGAAAAGATGAATTTAGCTGTGCATCTTCCTCAGTCCACTGAGCACAGCTGTTTACACAGAAGAAACGGCTTGCAAAAAAAAAGGCAGAGACATTCAACTCTAGTGGGCTTAAGTGGGCTTCTCCTATAAATTCACTCTACACACAGACGGGGCTGCAGATTGGAAGAGATCTGCAGGGCTCAACAAGAGGAGGGCCACAACATTTGATCTCCGTGCTATTTGTTTCCTCTTGCTCCTTTTGATGCAGCTTGGGTCACACACACTCATCAGGTTCATGAAATGTTTTGCTGCTGCAGATATTCCTTTTTATAGGGTGGAATTCAACATAAAACTTGAATGATTTTGAAAAACAAGATGTTTGAATTCAGCCTGAATAATGTCTAATTCACACAGCGCCAAAATTCTTCATCAGCTACTTCTGCTTAAATATTTAGCACAATTTTTGGGTTAAATGTCCGTCAGACACTTAAACCAATGTCTGATTTAACCCAATGTCTGATGGTTTAAGCGTCTGCCTCAAAGACAGACGCTTAAACCACCAACAAGCTTGTTACATGAACATCTGATCACTGTTCTTGTCAAAAGTGGTAGAGTTCATTTAAATTGGTAGATTTCCTGGCTTTCTAAGAGTATTCCACAAATTTTAAATTGAGGTTGAGGCTTTGGGTAGGTGACACCATAAGCTTCATGTCAACCAATTTTGAGGAATTTGAGATAATTTTTTCTACAGGGATGCCGAATTATATCCAATGACATCTTGCTTTTGATGCAAGATGTCCAAAAAATTGTCAGAATGTTCAACAATCACTTGGGCTTCAGCCTGTAATGAATTGGAAACTACAGGAGAGACAGTGAGACGTCAAAATATTTCCATGTTGAAACTCAGTCATATTAGAACACAAAACTAAAAAGGGGAATAAAAATGAAGTGTTGGAAGTCAGCTGAAACATTTTGCAGGAACCTTGTTGATGACGAGAAAAATGTGGTTTCTTTGCAACTTTCTAATTTACATTTAACCAAATGTTAAAGGGGGTGTCTGTATATATTTGAGCTTTTACTACATACGTAGTTTACACTACTTCTGTATTAAAGAATAACTACAAAATTAAAGTTGTGCAGATAATACTTGCTTTTAAAAAAGACATTATAGCTGTCCTTTGTACTCTCATGCTCCATATTATAAGGTACAAAAATAAACACATTTTTTTCTTGTTTTAAATAAATGGGAGTTTTTTTATGGAAAAAATAAAAATTATGCAAAATTTCCAATCCTGGTTAGTGTTTAGGCTTCTTATCGTTGCAACAAATGTGAAATAATAGGGAAGTTTCCTTCCAGCTTGACTTTGGCACAAATAAGAAACAATCTATTCTCCCAAATTACTGATCTACTTTTTAAAAAAACAACCAAAGTAGTTACTCATGTTGTTTACTTTATTTACTATTCAAATATACATGCAAAGGAATTGCTTTTCCATTACCACCCTTGTATTGTTTTCATTTTCTACAATCAAGTGCACTGACCTAACAATTTCCTCACATGAGCGAGACAATCCCAGCTCCAAAAAATCCAATACAAAAACAAAGAAAGAACAGATTCATGGGTTCTTCGGGGACACACAATAAAATGTAGTTTAGCATCTCATTATTGTGTAAAAACCTTCGGTGCAAACACAGAAACAAAAGCCAAAAGATTACTGCTCATTTCCAATCATCCACGCTAGCTACGGAGGCAACGTGTAATTTAGGTGCTGTAACCTCAACTATTGGATGTGAACCGAAAGCTTATGAGCTGCCAGTTCCTATCATGTTTTTAAAAGAGTGAGCTATCAGAACATCTGCTGCACTCGCGTCTCTTTCACTCCACACCTAGCTGTTGGCAGCCACGCAGGCGGGCACAGATGTACACACAAATACACACTCACACCTGTTTGGCATAAAGGTTTTAAAAGGGTTAGCTCTTATTTGTGTCAATACATGCTTCATTTC